TAGATAAGTGACAGAGATCTGGCTTTTTGGAAGGAATTGGTATTAAAGTGCCTTACAGAATATTCTTCAAGCAAATGTTGCAAACCAAATGTCCAGAAGTTAAAATGGATTGTATCGGGACGTACAGCACGGCAACTAAAGCATAGCTATGACAGAATAACACACCTCCCCACCATCCCAGAAACTGGCTCCTAATAGGTAACTTTTTTCTTTTTTTCCTTAAATACTCTCAGACTTAGATTTTCAAGTAATTAATTTGTAACCAACTTTTCTTGGCAGTTATGCTTTTTATGATTTTGGGGGTTTCTCTTTAATGTTTCAGACAGCGTAGGTACTCGACTTGGTTTTCAAATGAATGAGTTCTCATTTCCTCTAAACACTTTTTTTTTTTTTTTTAAATGGCCTTTCAGGCTCTTTTCATAAGTAGGCTGCTACAACTTTAGACAGTCTCAAGCCTAAACTTGCAAAGAAACTACCTGTCCACTCAAGGCAGCATGTGATACAAAACCACAGTACCACTTCCTGCACATAATGCTTCTGCACCTAGAATGCACTAATTCAGACACTTCTGCCCCACTCTACACGAAACAGTGGAACATAGGTGAGTGGAGCTAACAGTAGAACCCAAGTGAGTATAGCTAGAGCAGGAACTCTACAAACCAGCCATGTTGTTACCTTGGTTTACTTTTTCCTATACAAGGAAACTGAAATAAAAGGTGTATATCTATTTCAGTAACAGGTCAACATACCAGTTTACCTTTAAGAATTAAAACTTGAACTGCAGGTTAACAGCCTGTCCTGCAGGCACTGAATGCAGGTCCTCTTGTTCTAGTCCAACAAACTCCAGATGTTCCTAGTGTGCCTAGAGGCCAAAGAATGAGAAATTGTTTCTTTGTTTGTTTGTTTTTTACAACTTTCAAATGCAAATTTTTTTTTCAGGCCAGTAACAATCTAGGTAGTAAGGAGTATTATACCACCCAAATTGTAGTGCGACCTTCTGACATCGATATGACTTATCTTTATTGCTATTACATCATGTGCATCATTACAATTAAACATGCTGGCTATACAAGACTCCAAACTGTCACGTAAAGTGACTGTTTTTAAGTTTGTATAGTCATTGAATATTATCTGGTTTTAGCAAAATGGCATATGTCAGTCATTCTGGAACAGCTGCATGCTTTCTGCTGTGATAGCATGGAGCTAGACTCCATGACCAAGAGATCCTATTTAGTTTGTTTTTATAAGCAGTAAACTGCTAAAGGCTCAAAGTTGTTTTTTAACTTTTGGGATGGGGAGCAACTTTAACAGCTTACATGAGTGTGAATCTTAAGCATGGTATTAGCAGCTGAAACTTATCTTGAAAAAAGAACATCCACTACACTCGGATCATAATCTGTACATAATAGTAAGGTAACTGGCTCTTCCACCTATACTGTCATACCTTAACTGGTAGTTTGAGGAAGCAGGATAGGTAGGATTCTCAAGTCCTGTCCCATCCTCCTCTTTTTCTCCCCCCTCCCAGCTTGTTAAGACCCCATAATTCATTATATGTAATGGCTTTTTCAATTGTGTCTCATTCTCTACAGGAATCTTAAGATGGAAAGATGACCATTTCTTACAAGTGACTAGTTTAGAGTTCACTTGTAAAATTGAGAACCAATACCTGAATCACCATGGCTCTTAACATCGGGAGTTCAATTCTTAGATTTCTGCATATTTCAGTTGTCCAATATCCTGGACTAAAGAAGGTTGTTTTTTTGTTGTTTTTTTTTTTTCCAGCAAAGGTACTCTTAATGTAGAATTTACAAGAGTAATGTGAGTAGTAAACAGTCCTGAAGGATAAGACTAAAATCTGCATCTCAGTTGTACTTGAGAGTAAGGTACCATGTCAATTTTAAAGCATTTAATAACCTCTTACTAGTTGGTATTCAACTCATAGATAAACTTACATAGTCTAACCAGGGTTTACTGTAACTGGATGCAGTTAATTCTGTGAAAGTGATGCTCCTCTACTTAAACCTCCTACTTGGAAGACTTAACTTACTTACATGTGCAGTATCTTGTAGCATTGTCCTCTAGGATTTGAAGGTCACTGGGGAAACTACTGTAAGTTCAGTGTACTTACTGAAGATCAAAGGGTGCGAAATGACAGACAAGCCAAATGCTTCATTCAAGTGTGCAAGTGGGTAGTCTCATTATGGCTATACTTGGTAATTCTTACAATCACTTTCTAAAAGTGTGATGCACTGAATTTATGGTGGAGATTTGCGGTGCATAGATACATGGGGGTTTACTACTTTAGGGAACCTTATGCTAAGGTCTTTCTTGAGGCCCCAACTATTCTTCCTTGGCACTCGCACCAAAAGAGAACTGTAACTTAACAGGGATGACTAATCAGTTTCAGACCCTGTGCAGTTGATCAGTTAGCACTGATTGTATTACTGTTTTTGAGCGTAAAGCTTAAATCCTAACCTGGATACAGCATTTTTTTTTTTTCTTATCACACAAGATAAGCATTTCTTACAGTCAGCCAATCAAGAGGGAGGTGTATTCTGGTATTTCAGAGGTGCAATTTTTTTTTTTTTTTTGTGGAAGTGGGTGTATTTAGAACAAACCTTGCCTCTAGCTATTAAACTAAGAAACTGCATCTATATCTGTAACTATCAGTTTGAATAGCATATACTATCTTAAATAAAAAATAAAGCTGTACTCTTCTTTTAACAAAAGCCTTGTGCCAAGACATTTTACATACAGAATGTTGAGGCAGGTCTGGCTTTAACATGAAGAAAAATGAACAACTCTGGTGTTTCGTAACATGTGAACAGCTGAACCTGATATAGTGATCTGAGTACTGTGAAAGAAGACCTTTTTTGTAGATCACTAACATTGAGTGCAATATGAATTGATGGATAGTGAAGAGAAAGCTTGTGAAGATCAGAGCATATCATAGGACTAGGAGTGAGGCTAGTGCACCAGTATCTATTCTTTCTCTAAGCCATATCCTCAATCTAAAGCTACAGTAGAACCTTTAACAGAACACATTCAACCAAAACTGTACAGGAAAAAGAGAGCATTTTATTTTAATGTGAACTTGAGATGACTGCAGTGAACACTGTTGTTAACAATGCTATCTGTGCATTGTATTACCTACTGACTGACTTTTGAAAGAAGACAACTTTGTATGGAAATAATTCTGAAAGTGTACTGTACAAACCTTAACAAAAGTGCAATTATGCCACACTAAGAAATGTACCTTTTCAATAAATTTTATTGAGATGCAGTTGTCTTGACTATATCTTTCTTGACTATACAGTTCAGGTTTCTCTTGCTTTATGCTGTACATGCATTCCTGGAAAACTGTATAATGCAAATTTGCATAAAGGGAATCCAATTTACAATGTAGCAAATAGGAATATGTTCCAAGACCTCAACTCTACAGACCCATTTCTACCACTTTTGCAAGACAATTTTGGTACTCACCAACAGCAGACAGTACACACAATCACAGGGCACTACCATGAGGATGGCAAGAACAGAAATGTGTTACAGACAATGAGGAAGGAACACAGTTCCCCACAGGAGACTATATTTTGGTGTGCACCACTCCCACAATGCCCTGCACAAAGCAGTTGACTGTGGGCTTCCACCACACTGATCCCATAAAAGTGAATTGACCTTGCATATAACAAATTTTTGGTATAAAAAGGGTCATTCTATAAGTGCATATTTGCACATGCAGAACCCACAAAGTGAGGGGAACTTGTACATAAAGAGCTCAGTGAAATGTAGCTATGTTTTATAAGACAGAAAGGCTAAATGACATTACATTTAGGTAAGAAATCCAGGTCTTAGGCCTACTAAAATGCATCTCCTACACTATGCAAAAATATAAGCAAGATAAAGCCAGCACTTTATGTGATCTTTGCAGTCTTTATTCTGCCATCTAGAATTAGGTTGCTGCACTACACCAGCTCTTTTTGCATGTGAATGCAGCAGAGAGAAATATCTGGAGCAGGACATACTGGCACTCAAGAACCCTCTGAAAGTACAGAATCTTTTAAATTTGTCCCCCTAGTCTTACATGGTATTCAACTACTTTCACAGGGCAATCACTGAATGTAATGGAAAGCTTTGTGCATGCACCTGTTTCTATGATTAATAAAATGACTGACTTAGAACAGCTGTGAACCTTAAGGTGCTTGCAACAAGGTGGCCTTGATTAAATGAACAGATCCTGAGCTCAGACCCCCAAAAAATTTCCACAACATGCCCTTTCTGGTGCTTTTACAGCTGTTAGCAGCCTTCAACAGTAGTGATCAAGTAATTTTACCCCATCCCACAGAGAAGGGAATTTGATCACCAATGCAGCTGTCTAGATCTTTTATTGCTGGTTAACTATGCATCTACCCTGAAAGCTCGTATTACCCTTGCCTTTCCCTCTGAAAGGCAATTGGAAAGAAAGCATTTGAACTCCAATGAAAGTGCATAGGTATACACTATCAACTGCACTTTATCAAGCATCATTGTAAGTCCATCTTGTGCTTATCTGGGAAATGAGTAAAGGTAGAGATTGACTTGATATAACCAGGTATGGAATAGTACAGCCCTTTCTCCTTTTAAAAGGATTTCTCTATATTAGGTAGGACATAACTAACTAGAATTATAGGAAAAACCATATTGCTGCTAAATATCTGCATCGTGTACCATTCAAATACCATACCCAAATCGAAGATGACTTTTGAATTTAAGACTACCCCCCTCCTAATTAGATTCCACAGCTGGAAATGTATAAGTGTTATAATTTTCTATGTACTAAATCTAGTTATTAGAAACTATTAGTCAAATTCATTCCCCTCATTGCTGGAGCAGGAAAAGCAATGGGAAGGAGATAAACAGTAGTAGAGTGGGAAAGGGAATAAAACAGTCTGACCCCAGCCCCCTTCCACCTGTTTCCACCCCCCCCCCCCCCCCCCCACACACACACACTACTTGCCTCCTGCTGTCTGCACTCCCAGCATATGCCCCCCTGCCCAACATCTTGCCCCCTGTGATCCTGCAACCCCTCCCCCACTGTTGCCATTACCCTCAGTCAGGACTCCAGCCACAGCAGTGGTATTGGCAACTCCAGCTCTAGCCATGGAACTGGATCAGTTACATGGCTGGGCACGGGATGAAGGCAGCACATGCTCTGTGCCCCAAGCTGGGTTGGAGCTGAAGCTACTAACAGGCAAATGGCACTACTGGAGGTAAGTGGGGGGGACACACACACGATGACAGCAGCTCCAACATCACAACCACATAAACTACCTGCCCCTGCCCCCACCAATTAAATGGAAAATAGCCTTATCTTCTATTAAATACAGTATGTTTCTTTTGTGTGCATTTTAAAAGAATTACCTTTAAAATTTTAATAATGTACTTTCATTAGTTCTATCCACCCCAAAACTAAGACTATAACACTACACTTACTGACTGCTTAGGAATATTAGCTACAGGCTACAGATTGCCAACATCATTCTGTTACCAATAGAGTGTACTGAATCCTGTTACTAACTAGGGGTCAATAAAATACTGCACCATGTTATACTCAACCATACTTGCTGGAACTAATTCTCACCTTCTGCATTACTGTTATTTCACTCCTCCCCTCCCCGCATTAGATTTATCTGCTTGAAACCATGTTCCTTCTTTTCACTGCCCCATGTTAAATGGATTACTAACCATTTTTAATCTGGTTAAATGGATAAACTGCTGGCAGAGACTCTACCTAGAAAATAACAGTCTATTTGTTAATATTTAAAACATGGTACAACTTAAGTAGGCCTCTCTACCTTCTACCCTTAGAAGTGGATAGTCTATATGTACCCAATGGGCATTATAACAGTCAATTTACCAGACTGGGTCCTGAAAATACATAATTTGCCTGGGGATTACACTGAACAACAGCACAAACCTATCATTACAAATTTATATTTTTTAATTCAGATTGCGTACAAAAATTTATGAGTGCACATTAGTTGTCTTACACACAGGCATGTTATTCAGTAAGATACACAAGTTAACAGCTTAAGTGTGGCCATCTCTCTCAGTGTTCTACCCTTTCAGATATCAAAATATTCTCTTCACACACATAATATATAGACAGTAAGCATATCTAAACGTACTTCTACTCAAGTCATGATGCCATCATACTCATCCCTTGGTGATATATGACACTTGAATAGAATGTCAAATCTGAATTTCTACAGCCTGGAGTAATACTCTTCATTCTGCCACCAGCTTTACAATCAAACTTCTTATCAGCTGGCTGCTTACCCAGCAAGAGCCACAAACATACTTTTTGAAGTTAGTTATGGAACACACAGCTAAGCGGTTTACCAGTGGAATTTATTCTTGAAAAGAAAATAGTAGCTGATGTTGAAAACTCGCATTCATAAGAGTGGTTTCCTGATAACAGTGACTCCAATTTAAGATGGAGCACTTCTCCAAAAATATTTCTGTTTATATGTCATTTAAAATAATATGCTTGTCAAGTGTGCACGTTATTTTCTTCTTAGCAAGTTAGCACAAGTCAACAGGAACCCTTTTACCATTTGCTGTTTGCCTAGACCCCACTGAAAGGAACTGTCTATCCATTTGGCAGAAAGCAAGGCAGGGTAGCACATTAGAGACGAACTGCTTCAGGGACATTCCACTGGGTAGATAAATGAAGTCTTCATTAGCTACAAACCCTTCAGTTTAAAATGAATTCTCTCAGGTACCATTAAACCCAGTTGAAAGTAATAATTTAATTTTCAAGGCTAGAGAAGTCTGGTCCTCCTTTGCTGTAGTTGCCAGAAATTTCTGCTCCACTGAAGTCAAATCCAGGGTTCTATATTTGGGGAAGAAAAAAATTGTAAAAGGGTTAATATTCAATGAGTACGTAGATGAAAGTTTCCAACACTCTTCCAAACTGACAACAGTTTTTGAAAGTTAGCAGTTTCAATTCTTCAGGGAGAAAGAAGAGACAAAAATGTACACACATGCATAAGCAATTATAAAGTAAAAGCATGCTGGGATTGGTAGTGGCTAGACAGCTTATCACTAAAATGAGTTTGCAGTATTAGAAAGCCTTAGTTTAGAAGGCAGCTAGATCTCTACATCAAGAAAATATGTAAAATTCAGAGAATGGATATAAACTTAAGTACATTTTGAATTTTATAGTATTCCTTTAAATCACTTATCTGAAAAGATAAGCTCCTGCAGTCCTAAATAACTTTTTTTTTGTAATTAAAAAGCATTTTATTTTCAGTAAAAAGAATTATGCAGATATTTTCTGACACAGCAGTTAACCAATAAACTCTAATCCGACAACTCTGCTACCACAAATTACTAATGCTACTACAAAAAGATGGTTAAATGTCATATGTAGATGTCACTATGTTGAAAAGGATTTTAGTATTAGATCTGCTCAAAAAAACAAATGGAAGTCATTGCAGCTGAGGTTTTACCACTTGGAAAACTGGTAGCTTTTACTATATACCCTGTATTAATGTAGGCATAGCAGCTCGATTTGGAAGAAATAAATCTTTAAATATAGGTATGTCTGGAGACCAGCACACTGTTTACTTTTATAGGCTCTATTCTCCTACAGCAATGGTGGCCAACCATTTTGGTAGACATGCCACAACTTAAGGCCCTTTCCCCCAACCCTCTGATAGTGCTCCTCTGATCTCCACCCCCCATCCAAAGGCAAACTTGATAGAATTGTGACCTGGGGTGCCAGAAAGCTTCCAGAAGACCCTGCAGAATAAAGTGGAGGCAGGATGCTGCTACTATGACTGCTGTTATATATAGGAAGCCAGGGTACAAATCCCCAAGTTTGGTAGCAGCTGCTGGGCAAGGGGAAGGTTAATCTGGCTCTCAGCGCTGCTGTCCAACACCATCTCTAAGAGCCTGGGGCTCAAATGTCAGACAGGCAAACATAGCAGCTGCCTGTGCCACTTGTGGCACACATGCCACAGGTTGACCATCCTGGTTCTACAGTTAGTTAACAGCAATGTTTGCTAACACTAAACCCCAAAGAACCTAAGCCAGTTATATACTATTGGCCAAAAACAACAGCTTTTGAAATCCTAATAGGAGGGCTTTTGGGGCTTTTTTTAAGGGTTTTTTTTAGGTTTTCACATAGAAAGACTAACGTGATTGAGCTAAAACAACTCCAGTTTCCCAAAGGAATGTAACTGGACAACAAAAGAATCTCTCCTACTTTTCCTGGCCATAGTTTCATAGTTGGTAGGGTTGGAAGGGACCTGAGCAGATCATAAAGACCAACCCCCCCGCCGTGGGTAGGAAAGGATGCTGGGGTCAAATGACCCCAACTAGGTGATTATCTAGCCTCCTTTTGAACACCCCCAGGGTAGGAGCGAGCACCACTTCCCTTGGAAGCTGGTTCTAGATCCTAGCCGCCCTGACTGAAGTAGTGTTTCCTGATGTCTAGCCTGAACCTACTCTTAGTCAACTTGCGGCCGTTACTCCTTGTTACTCCTGGCAGTGCTCGGGGGAACAGGGACTCTCCGTAACTTGCAAACATACAAATAAAGCAGTCATTTTTATCTTCTGACTTGCCTCTTTTTGGAATCTCTCCAGCGTAAGTTTCCTTTGCATCTGGTCTTGTACCCAAGGATCAGCAGCATACTCATTTTCTAACAGAGAAGCCCAACAATTGCCAGCATCTCGATTAGTCTTGGTTAGAATAATACGTATTAATTTCCTGTCCTCTTTGAAAGAGAAAAATAGAAATAACCATTACTTCTGTGAAATAATTCATTTGTACAAAAAAAACCATGGTAAGAGCCTTGAATATGGCTAACAAAAAGGATGGCAAGAAGTTATTTTGGATGGAACAGATGTAAAATAGTGTGATAAAATTAAGTTAAGAAAAGGATGCAGCTGAATGTCAGTAGGGAAA